AAATAGGTACTACAAAAAAGTATTTATTTGAAAAAAGTATTTTGAAAATACGTATTTTATATTTAGCATTTAAAATACAAAAGGAAAATCTATTTTGTATTTCACATGTGAAATAACAAATCAAAAAAGGATTTGCATTTTGTATTTAAATACTTTAGAAAACCTTTAAGCACGTTTCTGTGGAACACACAAACATATTCAATGAAAATTCATGTAAAAAAATATCACCTACCTTAATTAATTTAAAGATAATGGCCAGTCTGCGTAAACGACTTGAATAATCCCTGCAAATCCACTAGGTACCAATGTGTGTAAACTGATAAAATCCATCACAAACGTTTTATATTCACCACACATAAAAACCACATCCGACATTGTTTCTAATAAACTAATACACATGCAGGCACAAAGCTAATCGTCAAAGCTCGACAGCATGTGCGCTTTGGCAAAATTGAAAGATACATAATAATCATGACAATATAGCGTGCTATCAACAAATTCAAGGAGAAGCTAATAGAATACAATGAAAACAAATAAAGAAGCAAGACAGACGTTTACAAACTCACACGCTAAGGGTTTGAAGCCTCAGAATAATTAAACATTTTGTTAAAAATAACTAAACAACTAAGTACCAAAAAACACCTAATAGTATATAAAATGTTCCCATCCTTACAACAACCCAATAAAAATGCAAAAATTGAATTCATAACGTCATATCAAGTTTATTACACAATTTAAATCCATAATTATTACGCTTTGTTAAAAAAAAAAATAAGTGAATAGTTTAGAAATGTAATAATATAAGGGAATTGATGCAGAGAAGTGATAAGAGGGTGGATTCTAAGTAAAATAAGGAGGACAACATATGTGGTGGAGCTAAGGAAGATTTTGTGGAGAAACTGGCAAAGGAGATTGTGTTCTAAGGCATTTAGGACCCCTACTTACCCTTTATTTGCGAACGTATTTTATGAACAGTCCCGTAGGGGATACAAATATTGAAAAAAGGAAGAAGATATCGGCGTAGAATGTCTAACAGGGGGGGTAAAATGTCTGAAACATGTGTTACGAGAATGTGAATAAAGTAGAACTTGAGAGAAATGCTGTAAACTGGTGCATGAGAATGGGGGTAGGCTGAAACGCAAATTTTAACGAATAGGGGGTCAATTTCTTAAGACTGTGAAAGGTGTGACAAAAAAAGGCAGTGGGGGGGGAGCCAATATTAGTAATACAAAAATAGGCGTTGGAAATGTAGAAAATAACTTTATTTTTAGTGAAGCTTAACAATAAAAAAAAATTATTGAAAGAATATTTAATGGTAAAATACCCTAACCGAGCAAAATCTCATTTTTTATGAATTAGGTTACCTACATGAAATTGTAAATAGAATTTTCCTATTCGAAAATGGCATCAACTGAACTTTTTCGATGTTTTTGAATATTCTGCACATACATATAAACATGTACTTTTCATTTAATTATTACTTACAATTAGGCACATTTTAGTTTCAAAAATTACAGTCTTTTAAAAGCATAACTTACCTAAGTAGTGTTCCTGACCATTTTATAACGTCTTCTTCTTCTCTCTCGCAATCTGTTAAGAAAGTCTTCGTGGAAAATTAATTAGAAATTAAAATAATTAAAAAATAGTACAATATTTTATTTAATTTGGTTCAAAATATCAATAGCAATAATTGTAATAATAATAATAGTAGTAGTAAGTAATAATTATTACATAATAACTTCTTTGATAAGGCATCAACAGGTTGCGATTAAACATCAACAAGAATGATAAGAAGTTTATAATAATAGTTCTAAATATTACAATTGTAAACAATTCATCTCGGCGTCTAAACCTACATATTATATAAGCTACTTATCAGCTTGCGTATCATATACCTACTTCTAATACAAATACGATTTGGTGTTGGTTGTGTTAATTATTCAATTAGAAATAGTTATTAATTGTATCACTTACAGCTACTGTAATATAATGAAGTCATAGTTATGTAGGTACTTACAATAAGTGGACAATAAATAATATATTTATTAATAACTACAGTTGTTTTAAAATCAATACTTTTGATTCGTTTAATTGTTAATCAGTTAAATAATCGATAACAAGAAAAGTGAATTGTTTGTTGAATGCCTACAACTAAAAAATATAATTATTATTTGGTCTAGTTTGTGACAAAAGCACATCTTTTTTGTCAGGTAAAACCTAAAATACTATAGCGCAGCAAAGTACAATAGAATTATTTTTATTTTCTATTGTTTTAGTAATAATTTAGCAAAGTCAAATAAATATAATAATAGTAAATACGTGTTGCAGCTAGGTACATCAAGTAAAAAAGAAAATTTTAATATCAAAACTAACAATTTTCTTCTCCGAAATAATAAAATAATACTTTATACAATTTTCATTAATAATAAAAAAAATACCTTCAAATATGTGAATTTACTTAATTCTGAAACGTGAAACGGAAATAAAAGCAAAACTGGTAACTACATTATTTTATGAATAAACAAACAAAATCAGTCCGAATTGCAAAAACGAAGAACAGAACTTAAGAATACTGACCGTCTATCTATCAAGTGCATATAGTTTTACTGACGAACGTAAAGCTTTTATTAATCTTAACAATAATGCTTCTTAGTTTTGTACTTCAATAACAATGCACAGCAAAATAAATTAAAACTAAAGTCACTAATTAGAACAAGAAATTTAAATATTTGATTGAATCAATCAATTTCTTTCAGTAGGTACTAGATAATGATTATGTAATTACAAAAAAAAAAATAGAAAGTGATCAGATACAAATAATTTAGTGCAGTATAATATCGAATAATGATAACAATAATAATGAATAGCACCCTTCGCGTTTCAAGTAAAATTCTAATTACCTACCGATATAGGGTAGAGAGAACGAAAAGTCAATTTACTGAGGGTAACAGACAGAATAAATAGGCGATTTCAATATCTCGTCAACTTCTTGGTTTCTAATCATATCCAGCATCAAATGTTAAGTACTAAATTGACCCAAACAATGTAATTGACAATTAATTCAATTTAAAATTCAAAATCAACTAAATTATGCAAAGTCTGGACCAATAACTTAAAAAATTTGGACAATGGAACCAATGTCAATCCATCAAATTAACACAACGGGTTTGTTTAGTCAGTCAATCAACAGAGGGGGCATGTCAACATAACCCTTCGGCAGAAAAGAAAGAATGAAGTCAAGGGTTCATCTTCTGACACCAGCACATACTGCTATGTAAAAATACACTGTGTTTGGATCAATTTGGTATCATCTAATGTTATATATAATCAAAAACCAGCGAGTTATTAGGCTTTGTAATCGCCCTTTTACTGTATTTACCGCCCTCTATACATTATCAAATAATTTTAAAAGGGTACTCAATAGGTTACCAAAAGAAAAAAACAAAATAACAGTAAACTCCTAAAATTTCTTAAGATTAAGTTTGGATAGTTCTTTCATTAATATACTAATAATACCTTTCGTACTAAAACCGTTATATAGGCGAATATGTATTGTATAATATAATATTAAATTGGTGTTTTAAATAGCCTGAATCATTTGCTTTGGACGTTTTTGAAAAACCACTCGGTAAATTTTCGAAGCTGATTGACCGCGGACTGCGCCTGATCTTGCAACTTTTGATTTTCCTCTTTTAACCTTTTGACTTCGTCTTCGAGACTCAAACGTCTCCTAGTTTCCATGTTAACCCTTGTCTCTAGCTCGGTCAATGTGTTCTGCAATTCGGGCACGCTAGTGCTCGAACTTATCCTGAGACAAACGTCACTGTTACTACTCTTTTACAAAAGTCTCTCTCCAATTTCAAAAATACACAAGTGAGAATACTCACGTGCAACGATGTTTTATAACTACTCAATATAAATATTGGACTTCTCTTTCCCAGTAAATCTTTTTAGAATCCTTTATCGCTAATAAAAGATTTAAATTATTGGTATACGAATTCCGAGGATCATGAGAGACATTTCAACAGTATTATTAATTTGTAATGTAACAAAAATGATAAAACGTAAATTAAATCAGACCCCACACAAACTCAGCGAATAAAAATAAAAACCAATTCCCAATTTTTTGATTTTAATAACAATTAAACTACACGCATTTTGATATCTCATAAAAATAAATAAAATAATAAATAAACACTTTCAGCTACTAAAGGCAACCTTTTTACTAAATAATTCTTCACAAGCTTTGTAGCTACCTATACATATTGCATTTTTGAACAAAAGCTGCTACTTGAATTGACTTTGCCTTCAAATTTTATAACGCCTGATGTGGGACACAGGGGGGTAGAAGAAGTGAAAATCTTTCATTATTAGTGATTGAGAATCACGTAACACGACTTTTTAATGCACAACATATGTCAAAATTCAATTCTCAATTTTTAAACTCTAATCAATGGAAAAAAGAATATCATCAAAACTGAAATACCCCCATTATCTAAAACTCTAAAAATAGTACACGATATCTAACATCGAAACTGTAAAACCAATTTTAATCTGCTTAATGTTCCTTAGAATATTCAATTTCCACCTCACACCACAATACTACCATCACCCACTGCATAAACCATAAAATGTACTTACATTGACGTTATTGAAGCATCCATAGGTCCATCGTCGCTCCACTGACCCGTAGACGCAGCCCCTTTGAGATCACCAACATCTGGCATATTCTCAGACACCTCCATCATCACCCTCGTCGCTGTGTCCACCAAACTAGACCATTCTATGTCGTTGGGCAGAGGAAGGGGAGCATCTGTAGATGATCCCGAAACTTTATTCCCTTTTACTCGTGGTGACAGTCTATCATCTTTCCCTCCTTTAAACTCCACAGGAAGAGGACTGGAAGTGGTACTTGAATTAGATATAACGGTAGCAGGCCGTGCCATTGTCAATATCACTTCCTGCTGCGTCTCTTTGGATAATTTGACAGGTTGCTGGTCACAAACATTCGCAGACGATGACGATTCCTTAATGTTATCAGGATCGATTAGACGAATCAATTCCTCTTGGAACGTGCTCGACGATAGGTTGGCGCTGTTCCTATTGGAAGATCTAGATGTCACTCCTGGACGTAGCTTCGCTTCGCCATTTATGGATCTAGGGCTCTGGTTGCGGCTGTTGATGTGATGTTTGGAGGCACGACGGACCCTAGGAGAAGAGTTTCCACCACTTCCATTGGAGAGTTCATCCTCACTTCCGGCCAGACCGTAAAAGCGGTCACTTGTTACTGAACTATCTGTAGAGTGATTATCGTTTATTACCAAGTTATTTCGAAGTTCGTTGTTCAGTTGTTGGAGCGTTGTGTACTCTGCCACTTTAGGAGCTCTAGAAAAACAATCACAAAGTCTCTCACGTCATTCAGACTTCAACCCACAATAGATTTCACTTACCTGGTAACAACATATTCGATTTCTCGATTCTTGCTGTCGTTTACAACTCCCACTCGATGTCTGCTATTGTCTCGACGTCTAGGTTCGCCCAGGTCATCCCTCAGATGATGCCTACCACTAATTCCATGCTGCTGTTGTTGTTGTTGGTCATCATTTCCCAAATATTTGCAACACTCTTCTGTTTTTAAAAAGTTTCTTCCATCAATCTTGTAACTCGTATCATAGTCATAAGTATTGTTGTGTAAAGCAGCTGTCAGAGGAATGGAGTAATTTGCATGTTGAAGGGGTAAGGAATGACTCACTTGGACCTTAGTATGTTGGGGGCCAAAATGGTTATGAGATTGAGACACCTGCATATGGGACATCGAGTTGTTATTATTATTGGTGTTGATGTTATTATTACTATTGGTGATGTTATTATTATTGTTGTTGTAAGTTCTTTTAGGAGAAGAAGGATAAGTATTTGCTGCGGCTGATGGTTGAACAGTCCTGTTATTTTGTTGTTTGAGGGGTAGCGGAGGTGGAGAACCTAAATCGAGACCTAAACCCTCCTGAAGGATGTCGTACCATTGGTCGTCAGAAAAACCACTCGAAGAGCTTGTCGTTGTGCCCTAAAACAGATGAAACGGATAGTTTTTATGCCCCCCCATGGAAAATAAGTGCAATTTCCATACTTCTCGATTGTTAAATTTTGTAGATTCGTGTCCCAAGAAGGACTTACTGCTACTTCCGGTCCCGTATCCGGAACTGCTGCTTGACCTAGGCGGTGAGAAGCTTCTTTCGTATATCATCTTATGATTACCAGGGACGGCCTTCTGCAATTGGGCTGCCTTCCTACATTTGGTGGAATCGTCCACATTATTGCCATTATTTTCATAATCACTTTCGTAATTGCCTTCGTTGTACTTGCAATTGGGAAGGGTGCAACCCTTACGAGCACCTCCATCAGGTAGAGGGGGTATCACAGTCAATGTCACGAGTAGTGAGGTTTTCAGCAAATCCACCTACATTCAAATGTCGAACGTGAGCAAAAGATGCCGAATGTACCTTAATTATACTTACCATTTGGTCATAAGTTAACGTGGAAACGGCCACTTTGCAAATTTCCACTATCCTAGAGTTTTGTCTGAGCCCCGCCTGCCAGGCTTGACCGGCGCTCTCCACCAGCGTCACAACCCCATCAGGTTGCACATGGAATCCAAGTTGACCCATGATGTTCCTTTTTAGAGACAATTCTTGTACCACAACACCTTGGGTCACTGCTTTGAGTCGTTCCATGATTTCCATGAGTTCATCTCGGTCTCCATTGCCGTCACGCATATGAATGGTTGTGCATTCGCCTTGATGATGGTAGAGACGCAGGCTATTCGTTTGTGGCGACCATCCCAATATCGATTTACAAGGGGTCACAAAAACTATCTGACGAGTCTGTTCCTCAATCAAGACGAGCGTGTCGCTCGAAATGCCGAGGTAACATTCGATTTGCTGAGATTGGCCGTTGTCATCGAGCATCACTTGCCATAAAATGGCACCCCTCTGACACGCGTCGGGAATGAAGCGAGGTCGAATTTTATCTTTCTTTTTGTTGCCAAAAATTGCTGTAACAACAATTAAGAACACACTTAGTCTGATTACCTAGCGAATAAAAACGGATGTGCATACAAAATTTCTGGCCGGTCTCCACTGGAGATGTGGTAGAAAAGTTGGTGACCAAATCTTTCAGGTACTCTTGTCTCGTTCTGGTTGCCATAGTAACAAACTTTTCTGACATATGAGCAGCGTTCTCTGCATTCACCACTTTAGCTAAAAGAAATTCTGCGAATGCTTTGCCTTTAGGGAAGATTGCTCCATCTTTAATCGGTGGACCGAAAACCTGAACGTCTTTCGACCTTAACAAAAGCAAAAAACGATTCGTAGAATTTTCGACATTTCCAGGAAGTCCTGGTGAATTTACCTGCTAACGGCTACACTATAATGCGTATTCTCGGTACACGGGTTGATGGCCCTTACAACAATGAATACGTGTTGAAATTGGGATCGTATGTTCTTGGGGGTAAAGGGCAAGGCACCTGGTTCTTGGAACACTATGGTAACAATATCGTTGCCGATGTGACGCTTCCTTAAAAGCTGTTGGCGATTGTTTGGAGTAAAAGGAAGCATTGTCGAAACGTGGAACATTACCTCGCAGTCTTGATACTGCGCGTAGACCGAATAAAGGCCCGTCGAATCGGCTGAACAACAACGAGAAAAAAATTTAATAAAAACCAAAAAAAAAAAGATAAAGTGGGAATCTTACATTTATTGTCAAGACCAGCCTTATAATTTTCGAAACCCTTTAGTCGCACTTTCTTTCCAATACACTCCAGGAACTCTTGGAATGCTGGACCGGCTTCTTCGTTGTTATACATTTCTTCTTCGGAAGACTGACCGGCCCTACAGTACATCACGCCCACTTTGTAGTGGTTTGTTAGGCCCTGTTCGTCCAATTTTAACAGTTGATCCTCAGTCTGCAAACTCTGGACTCCCAAACGGAGGCAACTTATTTGAATTTCGGGCGCCACATAATCTAATACCTCTTTCACGTTCATCGTCTTACCTGAATCAAAATTCAGACAATGGAAACAGTCCAGGAATGATCAGTTTTCCTCACTTTAGTTTTTGCACGCTTTTGTTTAATGCAGATGCAATCAAAATACTTGAATAAACAATCTATACATTGCGTACAGTACGTTTTTATTTGAATTTAATGACATATTGTTGGCAACAATTTATGCGAATTAATGTGTGCGATAAGGTCTTGCCATTGACAAGGCATATGGAAACAATTTTTTTCCGTGACAGATAAATTTATGAACTTTGTCATTAGGGCATGAAAATGTAAATAGTGCTGGTTAACTACTTGTGATATAATTAATGGTCACTCGGCGTTCTAATTACGCGTTACAGCAAAAATATTATTGTATAATCACTATATCAATAATTTACATTACGGCACTTTATTGGCTTGTAATGACAATAATTAAATTTTAGAACTTTCACTTATTTGAAAATTAGCCAAATAATGTCACCAATAAACTACACAAAGTGAAACAAGAAGTTTATATTGTTAATAAAATGCATTTTATGGTTGCATGAGGATAAGAGGAAACGGAAGTTTTAAGACACGATAATGGCAAAGATGGTCACCAAGCATTAGTAGACATGTTCTTATTTTAAATAAGGCTTTAAAGACTCACCGTTGGAGGGTTTTATATTGGGCACAGCGTCCTCCAGGATGGCTCCCCTGAGTGTAAGCAATTCCGAAGTTCGTATGATCAGTCTGTATTGGTACTGCATTGGAGATGAAGATGTCGTCAAGCCACCGTCCGGGTGAGGGACCTTCTCGCGTCGGATCGAGATTGCAACTGGACCCAGCTGATCGTCCATTCCGAACCAGTTCTGATGTTCTGCAAACAATTACAACATTCTTCTTTGGTTCACATTTCGAACAAGAGCTACATCCACATATTCTATCGATGATTCATCTCGGGGTTGACGTTAATTCAGAATTATAGAAAAAAAAATGACGAGAAGACATTCCACAATTTACAAAAAAGTGAGAGTTTGACCCGCGCTTAGGTACTTACAATTTCAGTAGCTCACTGGTATCTACTATTATATTTTGACCTACAATTTCTGGAGATGATAGGAACAACAATAAATTTTTATCTCTTTACCGAGGAGCAGTTCATTTAAGTAAATTATTCACTAGTATATACAGACTTTATTATCTCGATCTTAACCATGAGGTTATTAAATGTTCTCCTTTCGTTTTTGTTAACTCTTTGGTGTTTTTAAAAATTACTTCCACCAATCAAGTCTCTGGCATACACGAATTGTTTTAAATTACACCTTAAGCCTGCGACTGATTAAAATTAAAACTCGTATGATAACACGTTCAAGATCAAGAAAACGGAGATGACAGAAGAATGGAAAGGGATGTGCAGACAAGACGTATTATTATTATTATAATTACGTATTACATTAATTGTCAACAACGACGCATACCTGCGCCGCAGGAATTCAGAAAGAATGTCGCAGGTATACCATTGCCATTGTGCGGTGGTAGGTACTTACTTATGCACCCATGACCAACTTGGAACGTTTTGGTTGTAAAGAAGTTCACGGTAAATAATAAAAAGCAAGCGAATTCTATACATCATTAAAGACAGTATAACTGCAGGGATAGATATACAGGGGCAAAAGATTAGTATGTTTAGATTTGCAGATGATATAGCAGTTTTATTATTTACCAAGGAGGAGTTAGAGATAGCTTTCAATAAAATGGAAGCGGTATTGACAAAACAGTATTGTATGAAAATAAATAAAAGTAAAACCAAAATGTTGGTATACAAAGGAAGGTCAAGTAGGGAAAGAGCGAATATAAAGATAGGAGACGAAAGATTACAAGAAGTGGCTGATTTTAGGTATCCAGGAAGTCAGATAAATCAGGAAGGAAGGAGTATTAGGGATATAAAGCACAGCATAGCGCAGGGTCGCGTGGCCTTCAATAAAAGGAAGTCAATCCTATGCTTGGGAACGGCTTATTTAGAAATTCGAAAAATATTGTTAAAAGGTATACGATTGCGAAACATGGACGGTGGTCGCTGCGGAAAAGAAAAGGTTAGAAGCGTTCCAAGTGTGGTGTTACAGGCGAATGATAGGAAAAGAGCAAGTATAAAGATAGGAGACGAAAGATTAGAAGAAGTGATTGATTTAAGTATCGAAGAAGTTAGATAAGTCAGGACAGAGGATAGCGCAGGGTCGAGTCGTCTTCAATAAAAACAAGTCACTTCTATGCTCGCGAAAGATTAATTTCGAAATTCGAAAAAGATTGGTAAAGGTGTATGTTTGGAGCGCGGCGCTGTACGGGTGCGAAGCATGGACGGTGAGCGCGGCGGAATAGAAAAAATTAGAAGCGTTCGAAATGTGGTTTTACAGGCGAATGACGAGGATACCGTGGATAGAGAAGGTTAGAAATGAAAAGATATTAGAAAGAATAGGAGAACAGAGGACTCTATGGTAATCAATGAGAAAAAGGCGAGATAGGTTAGTAAAACACCTTCTCAGAGGCAGAAACGGGAGTTAGGAGGGGTAGAGGTAGATCTAGATTAGATTACAGTTCACAAATAGTTAAGGATGTGGGTTATTCTAGCTTTAGGAATATGTGAAGATTAGCTCGGGATAGGAAAGAGTGGAGCTGGAGGTCCAACCAGTTTTAGGACTGACGAACTTATGATGATGATTTGGTATATAAGCACTAAACCAAAATAATACTTATATTCAACTTTGCCGAACTTACAATGCATCATATCCCTTTTTCATGAAGGTATATGTTCGCAATCTCCTTCTAAACTATTGAATCGGCTCTGATAGTTCCTTATCCTGCATGATTAACATATATCAAGAAAAGTTAACGCATTACGCTGTCCTTTTTATTCTTTGTTTTTCAATGATAATGGTGTCCAGCACCTTCGCCATATGTTTTCAGTATATACAAATTTCATTTGTTTATTAATTAAAAAATGAGAATCATTCTTATTAATTATGGAATAAATAACCAANTTTAGATACCTAGGAAGTCAGATAAGTCAGGACGGAAGGAGTAGTAGGGATATAAAGCAGAGGATAGCGCAGGGTCGTGTCGCCTTCAATAAAAAGAAGTCACTTCTATGCTCGCGAACGGTCAATTTATAAATTCGAATAGGATGTTGAAGGTGTATGTTTAGAGCACGGCGCTGTACGGGTGCGAAACATAGACAGTGGGCGCAGCGCAAAAGAAAAGGTTAGAAGCGTTCGAAATGTGGTGTTATAGGCGAATGATGAGGATACCGTGGAGAGATCAGAAATGAAGAGGTATTAGAAAGAATAGAACAAAGGACTCTATGGAAGTCAATAAGAAATAGGCAAGATCAATTGGTAGGACACCTTTTCAAGCATGACGGTCTAGTCAGAGACATATTAGAGGCAGAAACGGGAGTTAGGAGGGGTAGAGGTTGACCTAAATTAGGTTATTGTTCGCAAATAGTTAAGGATGCAGGATGTTCTGGTTTTAGGGAAATGCGAAGATTAGCTCATGATAGGAAAGAGTGGAGATACGTGTCCTACCAGTCTTAGGACCTTATGATGATGAGTATGTACAATGTTATAGACGGCAAATTTTAAGTTTAAGTATAATCGACTTTCACTATACCGTAACAATTTTGTAATAAATAACTCGTTTAAAACACCCCGTATAATAGATACTGTACTTAGTCATGATGCAGTCTCATGGAAGGAAAACGGGGTCACCGACTCCTGCAGAGAAGCAGCTTCTGCACATTCACATATTATCTATCTCTATTACATGCATACGGTTGTAAAATTAAACCTGTAGGTTCACCAAATTGTTACACACAAACATAAATACACTTGTGGGCAATAGGTTAAAAGTGAACAAGTAAATGAGTAAGCCTGATTGCATGTTTAAAAATGTGACTGCGATACAGGCGCCATACTTATAATAACACTAACGGCATTAATTTGCAATGTTTCATTACTTCATGACTTCACCACCAATTGTACAAATGCATGTTATGTATATGTGTCCTGTCGATGAACCTCGAGATCCTTTTAAACGACCCAAATAAGAATCCACAAAATCTAGAGCAAATACGCGGTCATGAAGAGGTACAAGGGAGGTCATGGTACCGAAGATAGAAAAACAGAGATAGTGGAAATTGAGTTGTAATAAAACAACAATTTCGAAAAATGTTAATTTCGTGAACCAACCAAATTCAAATGTATATTCTTCCTGCTGGTACAACTCACAAATCATGGAAAGATCTCTCATGTCTAGTTTAATGACAATTTTGCTGAAAATGTGATACCTACAGTATGGAATAAAATATCTTTTAGTTCTTTGATAATTTCTTCAAATTACACCCCTCGAGATCCTTTTAAACGACCTAAATAAGAATCCATAATATCTAGAGCAAATACGCGGTCATGAAGAGGTACAGGGAGGTCATGGTACCGAAGGTAGAAAAACAGAGATAGTGGAAATTGAATTGTAATAAACCAACAATTTCGAAAAATGGCAATTTTCTCAACCAACCAAATTCAAATGTGATAATTTCTTCAAATTACACCTCACATGACCAAGATTTGTATCTTTTATCAAATCACCTAGCAGTTCCTTCCAAAATATTGAATTACTAAAGGCTATCAGGGATTATCCTGCATCTGAGAAGAAATTTGAGAACTCTACTTTATCAGTATCAAAACTCATTACTATTATATGAAAATTATCACGGCTCTCCATCTATTATAAAACTGTCACAAGAAGTCGTTAATTTGATAACGTTTATGTCTAACTCCGTGCCGATCTGTGTGATAATTAATATACGACAGGATGTTGAACAGCAATTCCAGTTACAGGTCGACGTTCACGTCGTTTTATTGGAGGATGCACAACACTTACTTAAAAAGAAGAAAAATCAGCCACCGAGATTAAAAATGTGTGGGAAAGCAAGTATTTATAATTGCATGTTTCAGAAAGAGAGATGTGATTTATTTGAAATACTTGCATTTAAAATGGAAATACAAAATGAAAAATACCTATTTTTATCTTGCATGTAAATACTTTTTTCAAGAAAGCATTCTGTATTTTATTTAAAATAATTTTCCAAGCGTATTTTCTATTTGTATAATGCAAAATACATTTTTATCACCGATCAAACATTATATAAAATGATGAAAGAACAAATGGAACAAAGAGACATTTCATGAATGCCTTCTAATTCTTTAACTGAAGAGATCCCAAAAAATTCTAAACTGCTTGGAAATGGATAATCTAAAATATTGGATCGATATTGTTTTCCGGATTCAGTGTTATGGTCCATGGAATTTTGAAGTTCCAAATTGATATCAGCAGCTGCCAAATCACCGCTTATTGTACCTTCAGCTAGCAACTACGAATGTATACGAATTACAACAAAACAGCCCGCAAAACAAATCGAATAGAATAGATACACGCCAGTTGTGAAAAATTGAAAATTACAAGAAATTACAGGTAGGACGAAGGAAGCTGGCGAGCGGTCGCGCAGGTATTTGCCCATTTATGACTTATTTGGTTAAGTCACTTGGAACCGATACACAAATAAGCTTTCAGTAGGCGTAAATTATAGTATTAATACAGATAGGACAGTAGCGTACTAGAAAATAATGTAGAAACATAACTTACCAAAAAGAAAAACAAACCTATTGCTTTTGTTTTATAGTTAGTTTTCACATTCATACCGGCGTAGTCCGGAGAGACTGCCCGGCCACCAGCATTAGTGGCTGATGGGGATGAAACACCCGAAAGTTTTTTTTGTATATAAACGTGAAATGTATGTATGCATGTTATTTTAATTAAAACGATATTGGTCATATTTTGACCAATCCTGAAGGACAAATTTAGATTAGAGTGACTTTTGTTCTCTATCTTCCTGCATCTAAGAAGCCTTTGTATGGCAAGACAACTGTAGTGAAAAATATACAAAAGTTGCTTCACGATGAAATTGTTGTGTTTCTTATTTATTATAAGTAGGTACATGATTTTCTATATTACAAGTTTACTAATTTAATGTGCTATTACCAAAACATACACACGTATCAGATTGGTTCCTGCAAACCATGTTACAATAAATCCAATTGGGCATGGAGTTCAATTCAAGTTGCATTTTCTTTATAATTATGGATTTTATATAACAAATGGTATCCGCCCTAACTTTACACACATTTCTTTTAAATCTGACATAGTTGAATAAAATAAAGTATGGAAAAAGTTTAAAAGCCCCTATCTATTATCGTTGTTTCGGCATATGTAATGTAATGAGCGCATATTTCATTTCTGTATCCCCTTATCATTAATTCGATTAAAATAACCAATATAAACCAGTTATCTCTGTCATAAAAACTTAAGCATTGTACCTATTTACTAAAAATACAAATGTTCATAAAATTTTCCAATTCCCAGTACAGAGACGCATGTTTAAGAAGAAATTAACAGCCGGAACAAATTAACCCATCTTCAAGTTAAATCCATTGTATATTAAACACGTCTCTCTAACATAATCCATAGACCAGGGAAGATGGAAGTTATTCCGAAACTAAATAAAGATTTTCAGAAGTAAACATATTAACAGAAACCCAGGCGCAGCGCGCACGTGTGCTAAAAACATACATACAGAACATTCGGCTTAACGAGGGCTTAGGCACTACCAAGTTTTCCTTTCTTGTTCCTGTTAATGAAAGGAAAACTATAAATAGGTTCTCGTAACCTTCCTCTACCGTATTTATTTGAACCAACGAACGCTTCCCCGTTGTAAATTTCTGAATGTCGAAAGACTGGGTAACCGAGAATAAAAATTAACTCGTCCATTCATAGTTTCTTTGCCGGTAGCCATTGAAAAACTTGCCGGGAAATTCTCATTGAAATCAATGTTAACTAATTTTTAAAAGCGGTAAAAACCTCAACGAAAAAATGATTCTATAAACTGCCCAAATAGATTTTTTTGTCAAACTCCAGTGAAAAACAACCGCGACAGATAGTTATCATGAACAGGAAGACTCTTTCCTATCCTGAGCTAATCATCACATTTCCCTAAAAGTAGGGTATCCCACAACCCTAACTATTTGTGAACAATAATCTAATCGACAGACAGTAGATGGGTACTGTATTATGAAAATAATGATTTAAAAAATAAAAACTATACAAAATTCCATTTAAACTTGTACCATGAAGTCGATTATCCTTACGATTAAAAACGGAATATCTCTACATTTGTTTCGTGATTTAGGACAAACAAATAAATTTAAAAACATTTATGCCTACAACACTTTTTTTATTTTGTATTCTTTAGTATTGTATTGTTTTATTCTTTTTTCAAAATGAGTGAGAAATTTACCATTTAATTACGAAAATATCACATCGTGACTCACCTCTACCCAGGAAGTATCTTCTGTAATAGAGCGCACCCTGATCGACGCTCTCGATGGGTCTCGGTAATCTTTGGTAGGGGCATGTGGAATGTCGCCAGTGGGTTTCGCCGATCGGGAATTCCAACACGGCCACACCGTATGCCAGCGGCGGCCTGTGAAGGGGCTTCTTATTTTGACCAGATCCACTCGAACTACCACCACCACCACCACCATAATGGTACCGATAATTGCTATCACTGGAGCAAGGCACTCGCGTCAAACTAACTACCCGTTCCTCTTCGCCACCTATTTCGTTCCTGAAGAAAGGACAACTCTCCACCATGTCGTTACTTTTACCATCGCCATAATCCTCTTCGTCGGCGGCGGAAGAACTGCCACCTCCCTCGGGGGTCGAAGATCGCGCGATCATGGAAGCGGCAGACGCGCCCGTCGTCGTATTCCGACGTTTCGCGAGCAAATTCTTCCGGATTCGAACCGCATAACTCAAATTCGTCGTCAAAGATTGACAATCGTAATGGACGAAAGCACGACGTCTTTGGATCTCTTCCGCTTCCGCAATGAGCGCACTCGCGGCCGCAGAAGACGTCGACGTCGACATCGTCGACGTGTTGACGACGCTGTCATCGAAAGCGTGCCGATAGTGGTTGCTGTGATGGTGATTGTAGTGATGATTGTTCAATTTGACCGACCCTCCACCGTTTACGTTTCCAGAGCCCCATATTTTCGATAGTTTGACGCGAAACTTGGGGCTCTGGGGCGTCAACTGATGCGTACTGCCAGACGTTTCGTCGCCCGCCAAGGAATTTGTGGCGTTCTCGGCCGCAGGAGCAGCGTCAACCTTCGCAAACAACAAGGAAACTCATAAAATCAAATGAGAACATTTTCCCATAGAATGATTCACACAATCTGGGTAATCAAATCAAATCAAATCAAGTATAATACGTAGTGACTTTATGTCTAAACGAATTCAATTCAGTAAAACAATTTGGAAATGATATCATTGTGGTCAGATGTGAGATTGAAAAAATAGGAATGAGTAGATTCATGGAACTCCCAGAATGAATATCAGAAGAATTCCTCTTTGAACATGAAGCAGTCTAATAATGAGATAAGATAGTAATAAAAGCACTGAAATCAAAATCAAATCATTCTCTTTAGATTGTGGAAGGCGCCAAAAGACTTAAAGAATTAATCCTCACATTAATTTGATCATTTCTATATGAGACTTTACAAGAAACACTTTTCACTTATACACTTATCAATAAAGCAATTTTTTAACACATACCTTTCCTTTAAGATATTCCGCAGGTCCTGGGCTTCTTTGATCGGTACCAATGGCGTTCAAAACTGTTGGTCGATAGTCTTGCAGCATAGCAAAGAACGAATCGCTATTTCCCGCTATCGGAAGAGGACGATCTCTTTCAATAACATCGATGGATCCGTGACTGCCGTATTCTCTTTTTAACGACGAGGAACACGAAGACGCGGTAGATCGTCCTTGATGATGATGATCTAAAAGTTCGAGGCTCGAATTGCTACGGTACAGAAGGTCCGGAACCACCACGTGTTTGCGTTGATTTCCCGAACTGAAGCAAATTGAAAATATTCAAGTAAGTAACTTCTCCATGAGCCACGGACTCGAACGGAATAAATCAAAAATTAGAAGAAAAAAAACAATGAGCTGGCGTTCTTGTGATGTGAGTGTTGTTACAATTGAAATTTAAGTTTACTTAGCAACACTATCGTGTCCGATAGTATTTTATCTCTGGCTTCAGCAAACAATTTTACTTCTTGGTACGCTCTTGTGCATAAGTAGTATTATTGTTTCACAACTGTTTTATTTGACATTGGATCTTGATTCTTGGTATTCCAATTTATTTTATTTTTATCCACGACCCTGTTATAAAATGGTATCATTGTTGACTTACATGTTGTGATGGTGAATGTGATGCCTGTCGTTGTACGAAGCTCTGGTGGTTGACAGGGATGATGGTGCGTGATGATGATGATGATGAGTGGTTGCGTTATTGGTGCTGGTGGTGGTAGAAGTGGTTAAGCCTGCTTTGGCACGCGCACGCTGCAGGTGGTTGTTGTAATACTCAACGGCTTGGACGGTTCGTTCCCTGGTACGATTAGTAGACGAAGATGGTATCAAGGAGGAAGGGGAAGCTCGCGGGGGCGCGGGCCCACATTCTTCTAAGCCGATCATCCCATCATGCTGCAACAATCAGAAAAAAAGCTAAATGAAATCCCAAAGCATTAGTAGAACTAGGTTCAAAAGATTTTATTTCTTTGTACAATTCTTAAGGAGCATACCAAGAATGCTGTACAGTTCTTAAAATATTTGTACGGAACTAAATCCCTTAGAGTTCTTCAGTTAATCTATTAAGCTTTGAAGAATATCTCCAACACTTCCCAAAACATTATTTATACATCCAGATCAAAAAATATGAAGAATTTCACAGTTCTCCATGAGATACGTACAAAAAGCGACTCACTTATGATTTTAGTGCGATAACAAAAAATTTAACCGTTGGTAACACTTGACAAATTAGAGAAAACGTTTAATTGTCGGTTACAGAGTGACTTCCTGTCTCTTGGTCAAATGGTATCGTTTTTGTCTCTTCCACGATGTCGCGCGTTCCATCAAAATGATGATGAAAGTTAATACGGAATTAGTTACTTAACCATTAGCCACCGACCACAACAGTTGCAGTTAAACAAGAAATGTGATTATTAACAACAGGTTGAACGATGATAGAACAAAAACCAAATTTTACAGGGCGTTCGAAATTCGACAGACTTCTTTCTCACTTAAAAGAGATTTATACCTAAAAAAATGAAGTGGACGTGACCAATAACGTATCTCTAACTACGCCCCGGATGAAAAACTGAATAAAATCGAGCAATTGTTTCCGACCGTTCGTCCATCATAAGGACCGGTCACAATAAAACGCATACAGACACGTACCAACATATATTTACGTCAGAGATCGCACATTGCATTGTTTATGGCACGCACATATACTTGTAATGGTGGAGATCCAGATACAAAAGTACATGCTAATACAGCAAAACCGGATGCGGGCTTGGTAAGTCACAATTTATTGGAGCGTTACAGGGTCAAATAAGTTGTTACATTATTATTATTATTATTATTGTATTTATATTGGGCACTACGTGAAAGAAATTTGAATATGTATGGGAGTTTTCATGAGAAAGGATGTAAAATCCTTATAGAGCTTGTGAAAATTCTCCAGTGATGCAGGAGAATCAGTACCTACAAGTCGAACCCCACTAAACGTAAACAAACCGAAGAAACTAACCATCACCTCAACTTTTAAACTGTAGATGATACGCAATCTTAAATTATTTTAACTTAACGACTTACATACATCGAAGACAGTACAACTGTAGGTATAGATATACAGGGGCAAAAGATTAGTATGCCTAGATTTGCAGATGATATAGCAGTATTAGCATCTAGCAAGGAGGAGTTAGAAATAGTTTTAAATAAAATGGAAGCAGTATTGACAAAACAGTACAGTATGCAAGGGAAGAAAAAGTAGGGAAAGAGCAAATTTAAAGATACGAGTCAGGATGTAAGAAGTAGGAAGGATAGCAGAGGATAGCGCAGGGTCGTGTCGCTTTCAATAAAAAGAAGTCACTTCTATCCTCGCGAACGATTATTTTAGAAATTCGAAAAAAATTGTTAAAGGTGTATGTTTAGAGCGCAGCGCTGTACGGATTCGAATCATGGGCAGTGGGCGCGGCGGAAAAAAAGGTTAGAAGCGTTCCAGATGTGGTGTTACAGGCGAATGATGAGGATACCGTGGATAGAGAAGGTTAGAAATGAAGAGGTATTAGAAAGAATAGGAGAACAGAGGACTCTGTGGAAGTCAATAAGAAATAGGCGAGATAGGTTGGTAGGACACCTTCTTAGGCATGAAGGTCTAATCAGAGAGATATTAGAGGCAGAAACAGGAGTTAAGAGGAGTAGAGGTAAACCTAGATTAGATTACTGTTCACAAATAATTAAGGATAGTTTTGGGGAAATGCGAAAATTAGCTCAAAATAGGAAAGAGTGGAGGTTTATGTCTTAGGACTGACGACCATATCATGATGATGAACAACTTACAGCTATTTACTGAGGGTGATTTCTGTATGAAGCTTAAATAACCCTGTCTCATTTATAATAAAATTGGTCTCTGACTATGAAAGTAAAACAGTGAAAAACTGACTGCCAAAGTTAAAGAATTCAAGACTTTTCATCTTATGTAAGTAATTTTAGATGACATCAGAATTATACCTACATGGTACCCAGCAATGTGTCCACTTTTATTATTTTCTTATGCCAACAAACAAAACGATGAAAGTGAACAGTTAAATATTCATATGAAATATGTATTTTGTAAACATTTACAGTAATAATAACTACTTTAGAAACAGTATATTATTATTGATCCTGTTTTATCTGTTCGGTCAAGCATCAACATTACCACGCATGAATACAAATCACCTGTTGGTGACTAATAAGTAAATTTCGTTTAATGTATGATTCACACGCAACGCCACCCGCAAATATAAAAGTTTAATAGGCAGCCTGACTTTTTCTACTTTATTGCATTTTGTATGTTGGCAATCTTGGAACATTTTTCTGAATAATATTAAGACGAAATGTAGCTACCATCAGTGGGTACCAACTACAGTAATCAGACTGGGACATAAGAACTAACAAAGAAATATATAAAATAAGGATTTCCAGGATTAAAGCAGAAATAAAAAAAAAAAAACAAAAAACAATTTTCACTTAATATTTTTACTTTATACGAGGTATATTCAAAAAGTATCTGGAAGGGTCATTACTGGTGACGAATCATGGATATGATTCGTATGATGGTTATGACGTGGAAACCAAAGCTCAATCGTCCCAATGGAAGCTACCGCACGAGAAAACACTGAAAAAGCGCGCCATGTTACGTCGAATGTGAAGGTTTTGCTTACAGTTTTCTTCGATTGCAGGGACGTGGTGCATCAATAGTACTTGCCACAGAGTAGAACGGTCAATAAAGAATATTACCTGCAAGTTATGCGCAATTTACTCGACGCAATGCACCATGATAACGCCCCTGGTCATACATCGCTGCTTATGCGCGAATTTTTGGCCAAAAACAACACACTAATAATGCTGCAGCCACCGTATTCCCTAGATCTGGTCCCCTGGTACTTTTTCTTGTTCGCGAAACTGAGGAGGCCCATGGAAGAACGACGCTCCGCTACGACTGAGGAGATAAAGACGACATCGAACGGGATTCACATATCATTTTCTTTTCCATCCCGCAACATTAACCTTTGTTAAATTAATGATTAGTAATTAGATACGCACACATGGATCTCTTGGAGGGTTTAAGAAAAAAAGGCCTGGTCGGAAATTATTTAGTGGGACCCGGTTTTTGTGGTACAATAAAACAGCTTATGTAGACACTAGTAATGTTATTAGAAATTACATATTGAATACAGAAATAAGTAATAATTTAACTTTGAATCCTCGTCTTGCATTTCCCTCAACGAGTACTTCCTATTACAGAATCCAAATTGAGCATTCTGATATATTAATGTCAAGGATACAAAAATTATTGAGTGTTAACTAAATAAGCTCGGTGAGATCCTTTAACAAGTTTTGAAGAACTCATGGCACGTTATACATACAGAAAAACAATCCCAATAAACTGTAGTACACGGGCAAAATTGTTTATCATATTGTATACGGTCACAAACTCTAAATAATGCAATACATGTTTGAAAAATCACGATTTGTGAAACTATATAACCAGCTTCTTTTAGATCTGTGCTGAAAACTTCTGATTATTTCATCATAGAAATAGTAACACTGAATTTCAAAGCATCTCCTCAAGACTTCTGAAATTCTCAAGTGCCAAAAAACCGAAAACACCGTTTATTTCTAGAAATCCTGCGCGTCCTTGAAACTTTTGATGTTTTTCATATTTCCAATTGCTAATTAGCAGCTTTTTCGTCAATGATTACCGTGGTTCGTGTCTCAAGTCATTCAATTTCTTCAATAACATCGAAATGCATCTTTCAGCCACACAATCAAATCGAATCCTTCCTTGCAATTGAACTTGTGCAAACTATAGCAAGTTTGGCGATAAGACTAGAGTCGCGACGGATGTTTATGTTTAGACTATTTTGCAAAAGTAAACCCTGATATGAAAAAAGAACCTGTTGTTGCACACAAGTGCACATATTAATTTATATTCCTTTAATTTAGTTTTAGTCACTTTAGAATTGCCGAACTGTAACGAACTAAAATCATTAAATATACATTTTACAAATTAACGAATCGTCTGCAGCGTTTTATTTCAAAAACGAAATAAAAGAGCCCGCACATTTGGTCCTTCGAGCCGGATATTGTAAAAACAATAACGGCACAGTTTATCGAAAAAAAATAACGAATAATTAAATACCGATTTATCGAATAATACTGATCGTGAGTGTGAACAGTTATCGAAGGAAGAACGATCCTTCACCATCGCTTCTCTTTAGCATCGAAAGAGAAAAGGGCTGTTCCTCTACTCATCACGGATATCCCTCATCACGGACATCGGCTTCAAACTAAAGGGCTGGAAAAGGTCAGATCTTTCCTTTATCTGCTTATCCTTTATTTTGTTGCAATTGCTTCTTTATTTGTCTTTTTAATATCGTTTCGTTGTTATACTTATCGCCTACGATGTCGACGTTGGGAGATCTTAAAAAATTAATCGCAAAGCGCAATCTAATCAAAGCGAGGTTAGATGCAATGGAAAAATTTATAAATAATTTTAAACCTAACGACAATATTAACGGCATAAAAGCGAGAATTGCAGAAATGCCAGTTATCCGAAGCGAATTTCAAGAAATAAATTTGAAAATAATCGACTGTTCAGAGATCGATGACAATGACGGTGACTCAAAAAACGAAATTAACGAGTATTCTTTGTTCGAGGACAGGTGGTACGGCATATTGACCGATATGCAAACGATAATCGATTCTCATTCACTTCCTGCCCCTGATATAAATATTAGCGATTTACCGAAAATGCAGTGTAACGTGCGTTTGCCGGTAATAAATTTGCCTGAATTCGCGGGCGCATATACGGAGTGGCTCCCGTTCTTTAACGCATTCGAAAGCTTAATTCACAAAAATAGCGGTTTAGATAA